AGGATAAAGGTTTGTGAAAAAGAGCCTTTGTACTTTCCTAGGGAGAAGCGGAGAGAACTAGTTCAGATGGAATTAGTGTGGACAGAACTCTGCACGTAGTCCTGGCTAAATAGAAAAACCAGTACAGCCTGCAAAGAACTACGACCTATCCATGTGTGGACCCCAATTGCGAAGACCGAGACACTAATAGTACATGACATTCATTCACAGCGGAAGTGGATCCCAAATCCCTTGATTTATCTTAAAAGTGTAGTTACTTGAAGAACTTACGAAATCAGCCATCAACAGGGCCCGAATATGTCTGTCATATCACTGGGAAGTCAATTTGGTGTTTGATATTATTAGACGACTTCGCTCTCAAATACACTTCTCTGTTTTAGGAGATATGTGGTCAAAATCTGTTCACAGTAACATTCAGTAAACAGTGATTTACTCTAGTTTGGTTGCAGATTGCAATCAATCTTGAACCAAGTTCATGTTCATTGCTGTACTGAACCTAGGGTGTGTTGCTGTCATAGACCGTCCGCATTTATAATCCATTCAGCTTTTTTCCGTTGAAAAAAGCTAACTGTGTTAGCTAAGTAAAGCATCTTCCGAAACCACTAAAGATTTTTCCAAACTTCAAATCGAAGATTCGGTCGATTGGAGAGTTCAGTTTGCCCTTTCATTCAGATTAACTTAGCATAAAAAGTACATCTATCTTGCTCAGTATGCTATCGGCCAAAGTAGACTACAACCCCGTGATCAGGCGAATTCCAAGCAGCATTGTTTGTCCTACCCTATCTCCATCTATTCCAAAAATTCGTTCCTAATTAACCAAGTAGGTATGTTGCGGAAAAGCCAAATGTTCGGATTTATTGGCTTTAGGTTTTGACTACTGTGCTGCTCTGGCTGCTCAGCAATTTTTCCAGATGCCTGATTCCAATAAAAGGTGACTCAGGTAGGGACTGGTTCTGGGAATTCCAATATATGCTAGTCTTGAAAACAACAAACCGCTTTAACTACATAAGGTTTGTTATGTCGGAAAATCTGACAAGAATTGATTCCCACAGTGAAAGGCAAGGACTGAATGCGTATTATATACAGGGGAATTTTTCAAAATACACTGCTTGTCCTTTTTGCTATTCCTGTTATTTCATTCAGTCACTTTATTTGAACGGATCACTCCACTTAAAATTTCTGCTGGACTCTTAGTCATTCAGGTTGTTCCATTCCATAAAATTAGATTACCCAATTTACATTAAAACTTCTTTCTAGGAGGAACTTCGTTCCTGGGAACAACTCCACTAGTTCTTGTTAGCTTAATATGAAAGCTCTTGACATACAAATATGCATCGGTCTGATCCTGCGAGGCAAAGCGCCTGTCTATCCAAAGCACTGTTCTGATTTACTCAACGTAAGGAGACGCTTTGTTTTCCTATGGGAAATGCTATGAACACAAACCCAGAGGAGCGAGGTCGTTATGGGCTCAGCATGGGGAGAACAAAAACTTGCAGATGACCCTGTGAATAGCTATCACCCTGAAACCAAACTCCAGGTTCAAGCTGACTAAATGAATGCAATCGCCGCAATCGACAATAAAACCCATGATTAGTCACGCGGTGCTTGTTGTGTGGCAAATTCGGAAAACACTCGTTGTATTCAAAGTCCCTGAAGTTACCATGAGGCTTTGAACAAAGAACTCACTGAATAAATTCCACCTGAGTATGGTTAACTTCCAAGTGCCCAAATCATGAGATCCCAGTAATTATGGTTTCTAGCAGTGTTCGTCGGTTGGTCAGCTGGTGGAAGTAGTCAACAGACGCCGGTAGGAGCTCGAGCCAGGTAAACCTTCTGTTCCAAGTTCAGAAGTTTACCCATGACATTTCATCGATCACAATTGATCATCCTCTATCCACCATTAAACTAATTGATCACTAGACCATCACAGAGGTCCCGTATCACAAAACCCCGCACCGTATGTGCGACCCATATCCGAATAAGGTTATCTATTCCACTTGAAATGAATCGCCTAATTCTTCCATAATGGTTAACTTGTGATTAAGCTATTTATTTAGTATCGTTGCTAGCGAATTGAGCTTTCAAAATAAACTGTTATTTAGCCGTTTGTAGAAGGGTAGTCACTTCTCGATGGGAATAATTTTGTTTTTATTTGTTGATAGAAATGGGTTGACTTGGACAAAAAGGTCACGAATGCTTATAACGAGGCGAAGGAAAATGTCAAATTCCTTTCAACGGTGGAGAAGCTGTGTGTACCACTTAACCACACAAATCTAGTGAGTTTGGTTCGTTGCATCGGTGCTCATGGTCTTGTTCACATCTGTTCAACTGTGAATTGTATCTATGCCTCCTCTCTGTGTACGCAGAAACTGATGATCAAGAAAATGCCAAATTTACTCAAGGCCCTGGGGCTTATATACCAGCATTCCACATTCTACAACACTTTTTCCAATATGACAGTTTTGTTTGTAAAGGTAAGTTTGATATTTGATAGTTCTTTTCACACATTTTAATGCAAACTATCCAAATTTGGAAAGAGTTATATCGCACATACACACCAGTATAGTAATGTATCATAGCATAGTATATTCACCTGCTCTCGCTTCACTTGTATGGTGGTTTTTGGTCACCTCTAGCATTCAGCAATATATATAACACCTAAACATAGACATTACAGGAAAAACGACGAATTTAGGGCGCTTTCGTGTGACAAGTTACCCTGGTTTGCGAAATACGTTCATTTGCAGACTGATTCGGGTTTGCAGGGAGCTCGACTGATTCTCAGCTGAATCTCTCATTCGTTATGTACTTCAGCCAATGTGCAACACAAGTCCGCCTCGCAATTTATTTCGGACGATATTCGAGATATCGCCCCGACGGAGCACACTACTCCTAAGGTTATTGGAAACCCTTTGACACCTGATGAACGGTGATGTTCTTCTTGGAGCCCATCACGTAGGTGCAGTTCCCAAGCTTCTGTCAACGTCACATTTTACTCGAACCCAGATTGTATGCTACTCGAATATTATCCCGACTAAAACGTGAGGTGTTTTTTTGTACACTACATTTAGCTGAAGAATGTAGTAAGTGTGAGATTCAGTTGGGACTCAGCTAAGTCTCCCGTTCAATATAATGTAGTTTGCAAAGGGGTGCGTTTCCCGAATTATGAATAATTTTGGTCCAAGTGGAAGATGAAATTGAGAGAAATCCTGGGACTGTGCCTACCTGATTAGCCCTAAGATGGACAAATTTGGTCGTCGCTTGTGGGATAGTTTTCAGTTTTCAGAGTTTTCAGTTTCATTATGAGCAGAGTGCCCCTTCAAGACAAAATATGCTTATCTCTTCTGATCTCAGTGCTTGGAATGCTGAGGTGCGGAGAGCCGCGGGAAGCTGACAAAGACAATTATTTATGCATTTACTTTACCGGTCAACCCGGTTTTCTCCGCTATTCAAGCATTTTGACCTCTCACAATGGAAAGTAGATTCATGTTTGCCAGGCGTGTTGGATTACGTGACTCCAATGGGATCAGACTGTGCAATTCCACTGCCTTCTGCGTGAAAAGAGTTTTACCATATAGTACCCTATATACCCCTTTGTGAAAGAAATCGGGTTAGCACTAAGCACAATCCTTCTTTAATTGACCAAACTCGCAGGACCTAATCTAGAAGAATTCGTTTCGTAGAACTGTTTGTGCCGTATGTCCACTCGTGGTGTAGACTTGTCTTCTTTCTAATGAGACCCTGCTTCATCGAATGCTTCACGTCCGTCCGTTGTGAATCTGTTACCGAAAAGGACACCATTAAGAACCGTTTCCTTTTACAGTAGTTTTATGTAGTGGATCGGCAATGTGAAAATACGTTTTCTCCAAAAATCTACACAAGTTTCTTGGGAGAAAGCTTCATGTACACCTCGGAATTGGTGCAGACCACCCCGCAATAAAAAGAAATCCTTTAGAGTAAACTATTTTTAAGCCATACTTCCTACTAACGGTGATTAATCCTCGGAAATTCAGTCCAGCACGACCCAGCTTGAGAAACACTTACTTCTCTTAGGAGCATTGTCCTTTGAATGTCCGGTCTACACATGTGCCGATCTTTTTCTATGAGAGTTTCATCCTGAGGTTTACCACCCCGCGAAAAGTATTGAATTACCATATCTACTAGCATTCCGCTGTACCCTCAGACTTTTTTCGGAAACTGGGTATCCAAAGGTCTCACCCCGGTTTTCGTGGTCTGCTTAGACCTTTTTGGGTTACTGTTTCACTGTTATCAGCTTATAGTATTTGTCTGCTTTTCGTAGCTCTTTGACATTGAATGCATGCGACATTTTACTCATCATCAATAAACTGCGTGTCATTCTACAAATCTTTCTCAGCACAGTAAATGCTGTTAGCTTCGTACATTCAACTGCCAATCCTTTCGCACCGTGTTCTCACCAGTCGAATGGGTGGTCATGCACGAAATGGGTACCTACTTTCTAAAACTGGTTTGGCTTCAAATTTGACTGCCTATCTGTCAACCTGCTCTGTACGCTGCCTTCTGATTTGATTGAACATGAATGGGGTAAAAGAGAAAATCGTTTAGCTGCAACATCCTTTCCGTGCCTAGCTGCCATGTCACCCGAGGGAATCACGAGGGTTGGGATACTACCAGTTTGCCTGTCTAGATCAGATCAGATCACGATGCCGACGTTAGGTTCGAACCAATGAACTTCCAGTCAGTGGGTTCACGCCTTAACCACTGAACTATCCAGAGTTCTGATGGAGCAATAGTAACGAGCAGATTGAGACAACACTTGCGTTTGATCTGAAGTGTCAGAACTATTTCTTGATAGAGCGGAACCGTGAACTTGCGGGCACCACACGTATCAGAAGCAGAACAGCAAGCTTCCTGTAGTAACGGTGTTTTCCTCAGCTTAGTTCTCGGTCTGAGCCACCCAAGCTAGCGTTCACGTCAAAACAACCACCAAAGGTATACAAGATCTATTAATGCCCAAAACGAAGTCAAGAACAGTTGTACAGCGCTTCGTATATATAGCGTAAGCGGTTATAACTTTCTGGAAGTTCTGACGCGTTCTGGATGCGCCAGTCCCAACCGGCATTTGGCCAATACTGGGTCATGATTGACTGTTGGGTCCAGATGTCTGACCAATCAGATCTCGTCTTGATGACGGACCGGCAAGTGTCCCGAATACTTGGCCAATCTCGTGCGGGTCAGGCTTATCGGCCGTAGCAGCGCCTAAAGACGTGCGGCAAAGCGGGATCCGTGTGGAATTCTGTCTAACTAACACTTCCGCAGACACAAAAGTTACAATTGAGACAGGTAGCTGTTGAGTGAGCTCGTATTTTGTGGCAGTTTGAATTCACGATACCAGTCAATTCATACCGGCCAAATAAATCGCTGCAATTACGTAGACTGAAATCACAGTGGGGGTGTGATAAGACTTGCTTTCGAACAGTAAGTTCATATACAGTATAATGTCATAGTCGTCATGCAGGTGGATTTCAACCTCAGAATGCCTGAACAAAATTTTTTCGGTAAACGGCAGATGAAGCTAATAGCTTGTCTCATCTCATTTAACATTTAAATGGTATAGTCATCCGTTTGCGACTGGTTTCAAAGTTGATGGGACAAAATGTCATTTGTATGTACCACGATATCCCTGATGGTCTTCGACTTTCTTGGGTGGATAGCACGAAAGGTGCTATCGAAATTATTTGTAAACATTCAAATGTACCAAGGACACCAATCTGGGTGAAAATCATGTCAAATGACACCCATTCTCTAGTGCATCAAACTCCTTCATGAGTGTTCCACTAGTGCACTAATATATCCTTCATAAACCATATAATCCGTACAAATTTCTGGTGGGAACAAGAGACAAAGTGACTTATCATCATGACCAGGATTCAGTCGGCTACTCGATCGCTGTGATCACATTCACAAACAGTATGGTTTAAGCTAGTAATTTTCTTTGTTGCAGGAAGTGCTCTGCTATACCCATTGGTTTGTAACTTCATTGGGCATGGTACGTCTAGGCCATGAACAACAGCTAGGGCTGATGCTTACCGTGCTAAAATGTTTGGTTTCGTGTATCGTAAATCATCAACTACCGTTGTGTAACTTATACGGTAATACTTATGACTGAACCGTTGACCATTTTGTCTAACTGACGTTCCATCGCTGGGAGAAATTTCGGCTGCTCGAAAGGAGCAATTATGATGTCAGTGTCTGAGAAACAACCACTGAATTTTCGTCCTGTTAGCTGTAGATCATTACTGTCGAAGCCATGTGGCAATTTGGTTGGTGGAGAGGAATATGAAGACAAAAACTTCTCGGTGTTAAGGAGCCTAACTAGCCAAACATTTCATCACTCCAAACAAACACCGGTCTTCTTGAAAATGGCAGCGTTGTACAACTTTCTTTGATGGTTAGTGTCCTAGGTAGCCTCCATCCTTCTTTACCATATAAGTGCTTGAGCATATGATTGGCACTCCTGAAGCTTATCTGAATTTTTGGTAAAGATATCACTTTTCCATGGAGTGGTCTCGAGAATGTTCATTGCCACGAATTGCTCCGAAATTTATGGAACTCGGGACATTTTCCATTTACGGAAGTTAACTTCACGACCATGTCAGCAGTTTTTCATGGCTGCCCTAGTGGCCCTGGCGTTCAAGGGTCCTCCTTAGTAAGGCAACCTGGATAAACAATCCAGTTAACTATGGATGATGTCATTGTGATCCACTTCCGCCAAAGTTTGATCAAAAGAATTTTAATACCTCAGGTGCTGACATTTGTAAATGGATTTCCCGGGAGATGCTTGAGAAAGACCAGTGTGACACTTTTCATTGATTGAAATACTGATAGGTATCCTTACGAACTTTGTGGCCAGAGTGCGCTGTGACCCTTGGTATAACTTCTCAACAAGATTCGCTGTGGTTGCCTAACAGTCTCAGTTAAAAACGCGAAATTCTGCTCACGGTCGCACTCTCTGGCTGCGCTATGCTTACCTAACTAGATACGATTCAAGTGTGAAACCGTATTTCTGCATGCCTCCCGCACACTTTTAATTTTCTTATTTCCTCATAAAGGAAACTACTCACGAGGTTACTGAAAACTCCTCGACAGCCCACGACCGGTTTCCTTTTTTTTGCGTTTCACCAGGTAGGCGCAGTCCCCGAGTTTTCGTCAACCTTATGTTCTACTCGAACACTGATTTGCAAATGAGTGTATTTTTCGAAAACAGTGCAATTTGCGTTCGAGTAGAACATAAGGTTGACGAAAACTCGGGGACTGCGCCTGCCTGATGAGCCCCAAGAAGGGCGGAACAGGTCGTGGACTGTCGAAGAGTTTTCAGCAACCTTGTGAGTAGTCCCCTTTATGAAAATTATTAAGAAAGGTTTATTAATACAAATTCACCCATGAACTCCAAAATATTTGTGCACAAACAAATCACAGCACCAAAGTGCATAGGCAAATCCAGCATAGAAGCGTGTAGCTCGGTGACCTACAGCTCGATCAGATACAAAAGTCAAAAATCCTCGAAAGAACCCCTTTTTGTTGCCCCGTATGTGTCCCTTTGTTTTAAACTTGAGTGTACCTTGAGCTTATTCATACTGTCTTGGTTTGCCACAACCTCCGCCTAGTGACCTCGCTGTCTATTTCACTACCGACAGATAACCAACCAGATCATTACATCTTGCAAACGCTACCTAACGCTGAACAACATCAAATCAATTTGGGAGCAAGATAGCGAGCTGATCATCAAAAAGATGGCCGAATGCATTGAATTGAATTTGGCCTACCAGGAGGCGTATCGAAATACACGGCAGGAGATGACTGCTTCGGCAGTGAAACAACCATTCAACTTTTCTGAAGTGCAGATTTTCGGCAATATGAACTTGTTTACGCAGCGACTGGAGTACCTCACTCGTGTACTGCAAACACTTGGACAATATGCGACATTGCGAGAGTTCGTATTAGAAGGTAGGCCTAAAAGAAAAAGAAGGGTAAATTGTTAGCAAGAAGCTAGCCTGCACCCTAATTATGATATATAGTCAACAGTGTGATTATTTACGGAACCAATCTCTGTCGGATTTCAAAATATTCTTTAAGTTTATAGATTAAACAAATGGTATGGACAGTGTCCTCTTCAGCCTGCTTTCTTTCCACAATGACTTGAATAATTGATGCGCAATGTAAACCTTTAGAGAGACTATTTGTTTTGATCACAAGTGCGGGATAGCATTCCATATAGCGGGAAAGAATGTTCTGGGTATAAAAACATATCACCTCAGCAAAACTAAACAGAAAACGCTTCGAGCTTTCATGGAATTTTATCCAATTTAGACAGCTGACAAAAAAAACTTTAGGGTCATCCGTATTCCACACTCCCAGTGAATGCGGATAGACAGATGACAGTTCAGCAAACAAATCCAAAATTTTCGGTGTAAAAACACCAAAGATTTGGAACCAGATGCAGAAAAATTATGCTTCCATGGTGCTTTTTATGTCGAAGAAGATTTTGGTGATATTTTCCAACATTTTGCCTCAGAACCTTTGGGACTCGCCCAGACACATTTTCGATTAGTATCTAGTAAGGGTTCTGAATAAAAATTGTTCATTTCTATCGTAAGGTCAGTAGTAGTGTGCTCTATTTGATTCCTAACAAATATAGGTCAGGACTAGAATTTGGCCAGTTCAAAGTCCCCAATAGATTGGACCGAAACCAGCTCCTGAGAGTATACAAGATATGTTGAGTAATGCAATGTTTTGCGCACATATCCCCATTTCTATTCACTCATTGAAATAAGTTATACCAAGTTTTTTTATGTATGGACATGCGCATATGGATATGGCACCGGAGTTTTCTCAACCGTTTAGTATTGTTCTCGTAGATTGAGGACTTTTCTAAACCCAGTACGAATGCATCAATTATGAGTGGGTAGTGTTGTTGGCAAATGTAAACGCCAGTCATGTTCAAAATATGCATACAGTAACAAACCCCCCGATAGACAACATCAGTTAGTAAGTCCCAGTTTGAGGTGTTATCATGGTTTTTGAAATACAATACTGATCAGTAATGAGACGCGTATGTGCAACAATGTTATGTGAATATAAACTTAGGTTCAAAGCGTTAGCTGTTTCCACTAAGCACAAGCTCTTCAGTACTCTCTGATCTCCGGTAGCTTAAACCTTTCACTTGTGCTGGCTTGATTTTAGAGAACCTACGAGGAGAGGCTCATAAGCATTTTTATATAAAGGATTTATTACACCTGATTGTTGACATTCCTCCCATTACAGGAAAAGAGCCGTTGATTACTAGACTGGATCGGTTGCATTCGATCATCACGTCTAAAAAGTATGACTACCTGGATCAGCGGAACCAGTTATTTGAGAACGACTATGAGGATTTCAAAGGCCGGATAGCTGAGCTACATGTAAGTGACGCGTGTGCAGATAGGATGACATCGTTTATCTCGCGAAGCTTTGCGAATATAAATGGTGATCGACAAAAGCTATGGAGCACTGATCGAAGCTTACTCACTTTAGCTCTTCAAACTGGATAAAACCATATTGTTCGTTTAGTTCTGCCTTCCAGTTTTTTGGCCGTTTTAACAAATATCCACATGTTTCGTTATGCGTAACATGGGCGCAACTAAATCACATCCAAGTAGTTGAAAACCACACAGTTTCCCAACACTGTAATAAAACACAGCTCGCTTATTTTGGAGGATATCCACTGACAGTATCAACATAAATTCTATCCTCTTGCACTGTCCTTCCAGGCCAACTTGCTTACTACGATTGCTGCTTACTTCCGTAAACCGTGTGGTTTGATCGCTCAAATCAAGCTACAAGAACGCCTTGAAACCTTGAAGATCCCCGAACTGGATCACAGGGAACGATACAGGAGTATCTGCAAAAGCTTGCGAAACGAAGTGGTTTCTGCGGCAAAGCTTTTCAAACATGGTATGTCTGATCCACCACTAGACAGGAACATGCCACCTTTCGCAGGTAAGTCGGCCCTGTATCAACCTGGTCATTTTTCCCACTTCGAATATCCGAACGAAAGCGAACACCCAGATTGACTCCATGAAAATTAGTGCGGTTCCTCCTAAACAAACTGATTCTTAAATTCTGAATAGTGAGGTTATGGTCCCTTAAAGGTCCCCCGCTCCGAGCGGCAATTTTCCTCCTGGAGAGGCTACTCTGTCACGGCCAAACTTCAGCACTCTTATGCGACAGCTCTAAGCTTCGAAAGAAACTGAAAGATTCCATCCATCCAAGCTGTGGCACCACTAAGCACGGAACACAAACAAGATACTGTGAGAAATAATGACAGTCTGGGGTTACATTGGACACATGATTACCTACTGTTAAAACTACAAACACATACGTCCCGTTTGACAGCGAAAATACCTCAACCGGATGTGACCAAGTGAATTCACTTTACCTTACCAGACCATGGGACATATCGGCGCCAGTAATTTTGTCAGCTCGCTTAACAGAGGTTTGGTTATAAGCTCAACCACTGATCTTCGTAGAAAAACGGTCGATTTAATGCTGTATACATTCGAACTGCGAGTCATTTATCTCAGTAGGAAGAAATAACTTTCGTAGGAAGCCGCCTAATCACTGGAGAATCGTGGGGAAAATAGGTGAGTAAAGGTTGAAAAAGTATCTTCCATGTGTTCATGGATGAAGAGTGTGCGCAAGATTTCAAGAACAGGGACAGTGTGTGGATCTGAACCCGGTTGTCGAACTGCTAATTCACAATGTTCCAAATGGGTTACTCGGGTTTTTAAAGATCGATGAAATGGTTGAAGTATCGATGGAAAATAATACGGTAAACAGAGCTTCCGTTGTGCGTGGCTAGTGAGCGAAGAGCATGTGCGCCATTGTTACATCTCCTTTAATGCAACACATTGACGATGATTTGAATAAAAATATCAAGCACCAGTAACATATCGTTGTTCAGCTTCCGGAGTAAAATAGACACTCCGTCGCATGACTACTCACTTATAGGTAATTTATTTGCAAGCAATGAGTAGAGCGCGGTATCCAGGGGATAAGATTTAAGGAGTAAACTACAAAAACTATCACGTTGTTCTATGACTTAGTTGATGAAGATAACAAAAGTGGTACGACGACTGTAGTTGTATAGGCAGGCAATGAAGCATTTGGAAACACAATTTCATCGCCAGTTTTCTGTTGAGGAGCACTGGATAGATGTTTCATCCGTATTGGTACGCAGCAGCAGTGTTAATCAGCAAAGGTAACTACAATGCTGATCAGTCACTCGTGGCCGAACGCTTAGGAACCTGGAAGTCGGAGGTTCGAGTCTCAGGAGTTTCACGAGGCGCACACCTCTGATGATTCCTGCTGTACAGCGCTTCTGGGCCTCTCAGCCATAACTGGTTTCACTTGCAGGACGAAATTTCTAATAAAATTCCCAAACCTCCGCACATTATCAAGTTCCTTTTAACTACTTAGTTTAGCGCACCTGTGACGGTAATACATGTGGCACTCAGTAATCGCACTCAGCCCCAGACACTAAGCCTAGTCAGTTTATGACCTTTTCTGGTTGTCATACTGCGATATACAATAAAGCCTGTCAGTCCACGCCTCGTTTTCACCACGGCATTAAGCTGGATTGTTGGTCCCACTCGACTGGGCAATCACCAGTGATCGGTTGTATGCGATGGTGAACTTAAAAGTATGCCTTTTCGCTCACCCTTTAATCTTATTCCCCAGGGTTGAGGGAAGTCTAAACAGTTCCACATATGGACGGATACAAACTCATTGTCACTTTGTTGAACCTGCGAATAACCAGCTGAAATAGTTCCATGTGCCATGTAAACCCGGAAAGGGGTGATACCTCATTGTTTTCGGTCACATGGCCAACAGCAAAATCTTATTTGATGGTGGGGTGGAACAACTGTAGTTCACAGACGTCAAGACAATTTTTCATTTAACGATTGAATATCACTCGTACTAGATAATTCAACCTCTCTCCCCTAACCACACATGATCCACAAATGAATACACGTGACCCAAATTCAGACGCAGACTGAATCAACGCATCTCATCCACAGGAAAACTGTTCTTTTGTGGATTTTTCCAGTCCCTGAATGAATGGTTGCATTGTATTCACGGATCGGAATAACCAAACAAATCGTTTCTATTCAGTCAAAACAATATCCAGTTGAGTACAATTGAACGATTAATGCACAAAGCTAACGGCCGTGTGTTATCCAATCAACATATTGGTAGTTAAAACGGTAACCATTGTTTCACCTTTGCTTAACTAAGCTGCAGTTAAGGTGCCTTTTTCCTGCTTCAGTAGTATCCCATTTTACAGTGTTATTTCGTTCTCTATATGCCTAAACCTTACGCCCCATCTACTAACCCAATTCCCAGAGGTGTCGTCTACAGTATTACTGTACGGTATGTTCAAGAGACATGCCAGTACTCAGTTAGCCCATTTATGACATAACAATTTTCTTTGGCACTTGGATTTGCGAAATACACCCACGCAAATTACTTTAATGTCAAGGGAAGGCTCAACTGAATCTCTCGTTAATGATGGGAAGAGGCTTCTGTGTAGCACATTTAGTTGGAGAACATCATGAACGAAGGATTCCATTAAGTCTCCCTTTACGACCAAAGTGGTTTGCAAATAACTGTATTTCGCCCATTTCGGACCATTCGGTGTTCAAGTAGAATAAAGATGATGGAAGCTGGTGGAATTTGTTTACCTAATAAGAGAAAAGTCGATTACCGGCCGTTGAAGAGTTTGCGGAAAAACTTTGAGTATCATAGCAATGGTCATATTCAGTAGAGATTTCATGCTGTCAGTGAAATATGTCTATGTCGAAAAGCCAAAAATTATTGCACAGCTGGTTCGTCCTTGTGGGGAATCCTCAGCAGTGTGCATCTCATGTGCATCTCTCATGATACTCAGTGCTTCCAACACGAGACTGTCCGGCCAGGGCTGAGCGCTCATCCGTTTGGTCACCTGTTTGACCAGCAGTGGGGTTAGCTCTCACAAGGACAGAACACGACGCCACCCATGCTTCAATAACGGAAAACCACATCGCGTGGTCACGTACTGACTGGCTCCTCGAGTGACGGCTTCTCAGAATGAATTTTCACAACTCAGTGAAATTGTCTTTTCTCTGAGCTGCTTATTATTTCATAGTAAGTATGCAGCTGGATTAGTTCCAGTTCCATCGCCGGACTCGCTCCTGTTTTGTAGCTTCTGAAGAATACGATGTGATGAACAAAACAATCAGGTCTGAAATGGAACTCAACCGCACTTTCCTCCTTCACAATCAAGCAGCGACACCGTATATCTAAAAGTTCAAGCGTCACCTAGGGGTTAACAGTTTTGGTTCAAGGCGGTGTACAGGCTACTTTTGTTTATTTCGTCTTCTGTTGACCACGGCAAAGCGTGAGTTCGCTTAACCGACCTCATGGTTTAATGCCTGAGTGTCTCTGAAGAAAGAGTGCGAGAGAGAGCGAAATTACCTCCTCATCGTTATTTGCGTTGTGAGAGCGTCTACCATGGTGATTCTTCCAACAGCGTTCTCTCTGCTAAAATCCATTTAATGTACAGTTACTCTCTTCTATTAAAGGAACCTTCGGTGGTTCAATGACATGTTGCCAAATATGGGCATGCAACTGTTTGTAACAGTTATCCTCCAAGCTGTTCTGCAGGCTAGTCAATATGAATAAATCCATACAAGGTAGGACATTAGATCCGTCGTCTAGAATCACACAGCCGCTAAGTAAGGGCATTTTTAGTACCCTGCTAAATCTCCACTTATTTCTTTATCCACCTGTATGCCTAAGAATCTGCAGAGAATTTTGTAACCTCATGTTTTCGAGAACGTGTGTTTTCAAAAGGAGTGCAATTTCAGCCGACCACGTTAATACGCGCTGTTCGGGGGAAAAGCCCTCCTCTGAATGTCATATAAGTAAATGGGTAAACTAATTGAAATCATCCGACGTGTGTAACAGAGCAACAGCTATATTTTGTTACCCCAGGCACTAGGTGTGCACGACCTGATACAATGGAAAGTAAAATTTACCTCAAAATGACATGCGTCCAATAGCAAACCTTTCCTGATTTTTTAAGACTAATCCACTTTGCTTCCAACATGGTATTATTATCACTACCTCCAAAGGTTATACCATTGTTTGCCCTTCATTTCAGGTCGTATTGCCTGGGCACGTTCCCTTTACCGACGTCTAGAGGAACCGATGAATGCACTTGGGAAAAGAGCACCCAAAATACTCCTCACGGAAGAGGGACAAGCGTTGGTGGCACAATACAACGAAACGGTTGGGAGCCTTGTTGGATATGAGATTACGGTGTATCAGACATGGAGTAAAATGGTGAGTTTGTTTTATCAGTTGAGAACCATTAGTTTAGCACGAGCAAACGCTGAAACTTCTAGTATAGGAATGAGCTTCTGTGGTGGTGATTCGGTTCTATCAACGAGGCCAATCTATGCTGAAAATCCTAGAAGCACTGTACAGCTGTTTCATCATTGTTGGTAATCACCAGCAGCACACATCTCACGAATCTCCGGAGAGTCTCAAACTCACGATTTCACTGCTAGCAGTTGGAATATTTAACCTTTTGGCTACAAGTATTTGATAAGTAGTCCGATTAACCCTCAGTTAGGCTGCATATAGCGCCGCTGTTCCTTCAGTCAGGGGATTCACATCATGTGATCACACGTGATGTTGCTCGCGGAGCCAGTCAACACTTGTGAACACATGATGTGGATCCCGTGATTAGAAGGAAGGGCGGCGCAATATCCCATCTAAGGGAGAGTTAATCACGCTGCTGACCAGTCACTCGTGATCGGTTGAATGTTCCAACCACCAGCCAGGAAATCGTGAGTTTGAGTCTCTCTAGAGTCTTGTGAGATGTGCACTGCTGATGGTTGCCAACACTGATGAAACACTCATCCAGTGCTTCTCGGTTTTTCTACACAAACTGACCGCACATTCAGGACAACATTTTCACCGAAATTCCAAAATCTCCTCATGGGGCGAACAATAGTTTCTTTACTCACAGACAATGCTAGAAAGTATGGGACATTATTTATTGGTTCCCATCAACACCCTTGACCTGTCCTACAGATGCATACAATAAAGCAATACATCATGGTTTCCGCCTTACACAGATACTCTTTCTCTGGACTCAAATTTTACGTGCCTGCTTTTTTATCGTCTTGAGGAGATATAGCACAAAAACCTGTCGATTAACCAGAGGGCTGGCCTGGATTGACCAGACTAATATGCGTTATAAACGCATGTCTCGCTCTATCGCGATTTCACTTATCAACATCTTTTTACGCAGCTTCTGAGGAAGATGGCAAGCATGTCCTCCTCTGTGATCATATTTGTCAAGGAACCGGCACCATTTGGTAGGCCCTATGTGAATATGGATCCGGAGGTTCTCGGTCTACTTCGAGAAATCGAATGCCTCGACAAGTTGCAATGTCCCATTCCGAAAATTGCCGAAGAGTTCTGGTTGAAGGGAGTCGGTCTGAAGGACAGCTTTGAACACCTAAAGGTATGCACATTGTAGTTCTCTCTGGTCCCAAGAACTGGTATGCCATTTTCATAACATGATTGGCGAGGACATCATTTTTGGATTCAATAGATCCCTCACCATATTAAGTTAAGTTATGAGACTTTCAACTTCATAAAACAGAGTAGTAAAACAGCCTTTGTCTGTCTACGAAGAATCCAGCTTCCATCACACTTTCGTATTGGTTTCTTTTCCAGTTACTCTGCAACGAATATGTTCGAATCACAAAGATGGTCCCACAAAATGTGACACTGTTGGTTGCCCCAACTATACAATTAATCAATGCTGCGTTGATGCCCGGCATTACTCTTCATAACTGGACCAGTTTCGGCCTAAAACCATATACGGAGGTCAGTTTAGCACACAAAAATGTCAATGTCCCTAGCACTGTGTAGATTAAAAAGATGTATTATCTCAGTCGGTTTTGGTTGCACCATGCGTTTTTTAGTTATGATAGAATATTCTTTCGTCGACGCTGATTGGGCACGCGAATGTTATATACTCATCCTCAATGATGTCTTCGCACTTGACATGGACATCGTACACCTGCCCGCACATAAAATAAAGCAGTTACAGATAATGTCTGTAAACGATGCTTTTGACGAATCTAATCTGGTCTCATAGGAAGGCTCAGTTGGATCACAGTTTGATCTCTTCTTTATGTTATCCATCAACTAAATGTGATTCATACAATCTGTCTCACATTTCAGTCGGGACGATACTGGAGATATCGCGGCATATTTGCTTGATAGAACATAACTCAGCTGGGAATCAGCTGAGACTTTCGTTAAAATCTGAATGACTTATAAATGGGCACAGTTCGTCAACTGTGCACGATTTGGGTTCAGGTAGAAAATAAAGTTGACGGAAACCAGGATACCGCGTCTAACTGACGATCCCAAGAAGGATGAAATAGGTTGTGGGCTGTCGAAGAATTCTCAGCAACCTCATGAGTATTGCATTAAATCTATATAATGTGTCACGACATTCTGAACATCGTGCCAACTGGAACATGGGCTGTCTGGTGCCGCTCATTCAGAACATCATAAAAACGATTGATTCACCTGATTTCCAGGTCAGTCTCCCGTCAAAATCAAATCGGTATGCGAATGAGTGTGTTGTGATAAATTCGCGCAATTTGGGTTCGGGCAGAACATAAGGTTGCCGGAATCTCTGGGACTGCGCCTACCTGATGAGCTCCAAGAAGGGCGAAACCAGTCGTGGCTGTCGAAGAGTTTTCAGCATCCTTATGAGTAGTGTGCTGGGTCACACTGATGTTTTCTCATTTGAGCACGTAAAACGCTGAGGTTCGGAAAGCTGCAGAAAATTGTAAAAGACGATAGTTTACCCACTGTCCTGGAAAGTGAACGTCTTTATTATAAATACTGTGGTTCATCTACCTTTTTACGTCAGTGGGGATAAGAATGAGTCGACCCATAGCCAAACTGTTCTCCAAAGAAATGCAATTCCTTCTGAATGTGATGCGTTTAGTTGACAGAAATCTGAATGAAATTCTGATTGCACATATTGCTTGACCTTTCTCTCACCCTGGTCAGGTCTGGCGATAAGTATTGTCCATAGGCCGCACTGAATGGTCTGCATCAGCCGACTAGTTGGGTCCACGATAAACTGCACGTATGGTCTTCACTCAAACGTGGAAGCATACCTTGTTGGTCCTCTGTCATCGAAAAAACTGAGCTGGATGTTTAAGGTTTACAAATAGTGAGTCGTCGATCGCTCTAAGTTCAGCCGTCGCATACACTCTAACAAAAGCAAACAGTATGAACCCCTCCACTCAAAGACCGTATGATACCAATATGAGATTGTTGCGGTGCATTCTGCCATATCCAGCCATCCTACCTGTTCGCAATGCGCGGTCAGTTGCAATCGCAGGAAAAAAATAAGATCAGATACCACCACGAGGTCAATGCCAACTTGGGTCGTAAATGGGTGACTGAAACACTTGGAGAGACTATCATTTAATGGCAGCAGCTACAAGGTACCAAACTAAAAGTGGCTCATACGGAAGAAGAGCTCACATAGCAAACGAACCTACGCTGTGAGAAGTCATCATTTGGGAAGCCAGTCAACATGTGATTATGTGATGTGAACTCCATATTGAAGGATGACTGGTTCTATATTCTGTCGACTTATTCACACTGCTGGTCAGTCGCAAGTATCCGAAAGGTTTACTTTTCACCTGCTAGTCTGGAAACTGGCGGTTCGAAATCTTCGAAAGCTTAATGGTTTTCAATAAGGATCAATGAGCTGTACATATGAGTGCACAGGTGGCGATAGCCATAATACAAATCAGAAGGTGTATGTGCACTAATAGAAGTTTTTGTATGGTTGCGACACGTATAAAAATGAATACAATGCGAAATGGGAGCAAGTCGAAAGGGGAACTTATCGTATATGAGAGTCCCTTCGTAAAATTCCGGACGGTGGGAACGTGTTTTCTTCGCAGTATGGCTGCTACATGTGTTCCATGATTGTCCGTGGACTTGGAGTGTTTGGCTGACTCCTTGCTCCCTGCGCGCGTGCGAGTCTGTGTCCTGACTGGGTTCCGTTTCCCTTTATGTAGGTCCCAGTGCGTATACGTGGGCGCGTCGGCACATGAGTGGTTGCTACGCTGACTAGGCGGTGCAGACAGTCGATGTCCGATGAGTCAGCTTAATGCGACGTGTTTGTGCATTTGTGAGAAAAAAGACAAGCCTCGCGATCCAGTGAGCGACTGTGAGTTGAACAGTCAAGTATGTGGGTGACGGGGTCGCTACATACAGCTCTTCTCGGCTTTTCGGTATACAATCACTTCACTCACAGGACGATATCTCCATCGGAACTTTCCCAATCTCTCCATGCTATCTTCATACGGACACAGGTTGTAGGGCCTGACAACGAATTCAATTAGCCATTGAAGTGTTCGCATGTGAACCGTCCTTGAGCACTGACCTACGGACTATCAACAATTTTTGGTAACATTCCGTAGCGTTGGGTTTTGTTTTAAGTTGATTGGTTCTTGTCAATCTCCCCAGATCTCACCACGACCCTTTCAATATATATTATTGGGATCCCAATATGTATATTCGGGTTCCAGCTACTTAAGCGAATACTCGACAACACTTATTGTATACAGTTATTGTAAGATAAAACTAACCATTGGCATTTATCCCTATTGAAATACGGTGCGTGAGTTATGCACATGTGCGGACAACGTCAGGCAGCTTTGCACACCACCTAGAGATTGAAATGAGGATGCAGGCATCCCCGTCGAATAACCATTACAGAATTCTTCTCACCAGTACAAGAAACAGCTCAAATGACAGTTTTCACCACAAACAGTCTATCAATTCTTCTGCCAAGTACTCAGACTGAACTGTTCATGTGATTCGGACTGAAAAATCAATTATGACTGACCTCACAGTAGAGCTGAAATGAAAATGCTGAAACGATGGATAAGATCATACATTTAAGGACATCCCCCATAAGAAGGCCTCGACTCTGCCTTTGCAAGAAGACGGTAACCAAGTGTGGGGGCTACCGAATGTGCTGAAATGTCTAAAATGGTTTAGACAACGTTACCACATACAATGAAATAAAGTATCATGCCTATGCATTTAAAATAATTATTTTGCCGGCTCCCAATAACCTCATGAATAAATGAACGAGAGGCTTTTGTGAGTTGATGTACAGGAATCTCCGTTCCAGAACATCTGTTAGGAACATCCATGAGCGAAAGAACCTACTGTAAACCCCCCGCTCCTCAGTCAATTCAGCCTGAATGATGAATGGTTGGTCGGAAAAATTAGTGAACGGTCTCGGCAACAGAGCAACATCCACAATCTTCTTTACAGTCGCTATATTGACTCTGTGCAGTTTTGTATCCTGGCAGAGTTTGAGAATTAAATTATTCCATTTCAAGCTGAGCTGTGATGACTCTGACTGGGTCCCTTGTTTGGGCGGGACAAACTCCTGTTTTTCATTTCGGATAACTGTGCTCATCAACCATAGGAGCCATACATGATGTACAGCTTGATTTACGGAATTGTGACGTCATGTAACCAGATTCGAAGGAACTTTCAGCTGCTCCTCCGAGTTATACTCCATCGTCACAGACCGTGAGCTCCAGCCGGTTCAGTTATAGTACTATGCAGAAACGAGGAAAATTCTTCCACGACTATCATCCCATTATTGGTCTCGGTTTGAGAGATACTCGTTGTCAAAATAGGCTGGTTCGAATAGAAAATGACAGCCGACCACTGTCGATATTCACCAGTGGGTGGTCGTGGCCAACACGAAATTTTACGGACTACCAGGGCCACATCTCACAGGCAAGTCTGGTATCCAGAATGTAAATGCATCGTCGACGGCAGTCGTTTCTTGGTTTTATAACATGACTAATATCAGAGGTTGCAATCTAGTGCCTTGACCGCAAACCTTACGTGTGGTTGCCTTATATCAGTGTCGACCATGTGAAATTCAAAACAATAAGAGGTGGTTCTTGAAGATAGAGACATGCTACAATGTACCGATTGATCTGGCGTCCGCTGTCTTCGAACTGAAATAATCTGAAAAAGCGGTGAACTTAGCACATCTCATTCGCACATGCTAACATTATCAGTGCTTGATAGATGTTGTAAGAGTGGACAAGACAAACCAAATTCTACACTGATAATAAAACTATGTGCGAAGGTATAAAAAGTACGAAGAACGTTTGGTCTGGAGGGAAAAACTATCTGGGTGAATGAAAATTCCAGTTACTAATTAATATCATGATTTTTGCAACAATAAAGGATTGTTCTGCACACTTTATCGTAAATTTACTTCAACTGAAGCCTTTCCCCGGTTGTTGGCTTCTCTGGAGAGCTCAGCAGCTGATTTTCAAGCGTCCTGTTACCATTCAAGCACACTTCTTCACTGCGCTGTTGGATGGGCAGCTTTTCTTAGCTAAGCTGGTTATGCCATATGTCCCTACTACGATGGGCTAGCAATAATCCAGGGAGCTGCTAGCAGAAGTTCCACATGCACAGTCCATCTGAGTTCACAGGAAAGTGGCACATAGATTGGTCTTACTTTTCTCCAGCGTTTTTTAAATAACCTTTTCTAGAAGACGCTATTAACATCCCACAAAAGACTGCGGATTTAAGGTTTGCAGACAGTCCTTCGTAACCTCTTGAGAAATTTGTATGAAGAACGTCCTAAACTTCTAAAAGGCTGGAAAAAACCCTGTCCGTCCCACAGTTGTCTTTTGATTATATACTAATGTTTGGTATAACAGGAAAAAGCAACGCATGTTGTTCACTGCTCCAGCTCTCATCATCTGTATCCTACAAAACCGTTCTTTTATGCAGGAAGTCTTCAGGCAACTAAACCGTTTTGAACATATGTTAGATCAGGCGAAACAGATTTATGAGAATCGCATTACCGGCGTTCTCAAACGTATCACAAACTGCCAGCTAATCAGTCTCCCGGAAGACCCGAATTCCCCTTTGGAAATGATGGAATTGGTCTATCAAACAAAACAACAAACAAAGAAGGTTTCAGAGGAAATCGGCTCGCTCAGTTTGAGTGCATTATGTGCCGCCATGGAATACATCAACGGGCTTATGGTTGATTACGATGAGTTTTTGGAAAAGCATAATCTTGTCACAAAAATTGATGAAGAAATGAAAGTGAAGCGCATCTTGCTTGACAAAGGTCAGGGAACCAAAGGTAGGACATTTTGCTTTTCTTTTATCTCCAAACTGGATAAGAACTTCCATCTCCGTTCCAATATTATTATTAGTAGTAATGTAGTAGTGTATTATCTGTATTTGGTCATTGTAAACTATAACATATCCTGCTTCTTTTTATCTTGGTCCCAAATTTCTGACTAGAAATCTAAAGACGGCTGTTGAAGAAAACAGGATGGTTTCAGTAGCGCTTCTTGTGAAAAGCCCACCTTTCTGTAGAACAGTTTGAACTCAGTGGGTCCTGGGATCTTTTTTCCGAAAGGACAAGCATGCTTCTGTCAGAGTACACCAGTGAATCCAGTATATTCAAATCCGTGGCTTCCTAGACGATTTAAGAGACAGAGCAAGTGGATAACGGGCAGGTTTAGTTAACTGGGTATATCAAACAATTCAGTGGAAACAAAACTAAAAATGGCTTTTACGTCGATTCACTGAAGGCAACCAAAGCCACCAGAATTGTATCACCATCGATAGTGAAGCAGTGATCACGAACGATTTCATTAGTTGGCCATCGTGGGGTTCAGACTAAGTCACAACACCACTGAATCGAATGTACTAACTGTGCACGTTATACAAACCAAACAGCTGTTTTCGTGAACGGTGCCTGTTTACTGCTCGTTCGGTGAATCGGTAAGGCAGGCGGTTCTCAGCAAGTGAATGAAAATCATGTGACTACCTCACAGATTTATTCATGTCCTTCAGTTCGCTTCATAACCGCTTGTGAACACCAAAATTTTAAGGCAAATTTACGAGAATTCGAGATGAATGGCTCTAAAATCCTCTGAACAAAGACTTCTATCGAGATGGACCGTACATAAATGTACCTAAATGTATTTACCGCGAGCATCTGATGCTCACTGTTTGTAAAACTTTGGATCTTTATCTGGTTTACGTATGCAAGAGGGTAAAGGTTAGTGTAGAATTGTCTGCCGTTGGTGTCGCATGGTGTACTTTTCAATTCATCTCCAGTGTCCCGCAAGCCGATAGCGTCCGTACCAGATGCATCAAGTAAGGGATCTCCGGAAGACATGACCAACGACGTGCCAAAGCAAACCGGAAGAGGTTCACCTGACGCAGCAAAAGGGACAGTAAGTGCTACTGAATGGTCTGCTCAACCAGAATCTCAAGTGGGCGGGCCGTCTGTTCGCACTCAGGCTACTCACACACAAACAATGCGGACCGCGATACAGATCGCCAACGCTGCGGATGACCTCATGAGCTATTTGGGCCAGAAAACAACTGATGCAGTTTGCCAGGCTGTGCGAGCAGCACTGGATCGTCTATGGAATATCATGGCGACGAGAGAAGCTGCTGTTGCACTGAAGGATGTCCCTTTTGGTAAAGCAGTTAAATGTGGTGAGTGGAACGACAAAACTTCCATAACTTTAACACTCCATCAGCTGAGGTTTTCGAATCACTCAGTAAAGCATCTTTAAAGCGCAATCCAGGCTGGAGCGTAATAAGATCCAGACAAGCATATGCCTTAAGGTAACCGTATGGCCAATCACCCTGTAAAGGAAAAATAACTCTTCCGTCCTTAACTTGGACCAGCAAACCTAATGCCTGATCTGAAGCAACACGCTTTCCTAAGTGTGCGCTAGCGACTAACCTAACAACCTTGATAACAAGAGCTCAATACCTGTAGTTCTTTTGAGTTCACTGGTGACCCACACAATATATCCAGTCCAAATTTAACCGCTGGGACAGCACTAAATCTGAATCGATGTCAAGATGACGTGTATTTTCACTGACCGAACCAAAACCATTGATGTGGCCATAAGTGTCGTAATTGTGGTCCTTATATTAGAGACGTTAGGTTAACCTTTGTGCTTTTTTTAACAATTTTTTGTCTCCTCCGGCTCTCCTGAAAGTTGAGATCATTTGAATGGGGCACTACAGCTGGCATGAACTTTTGAAGCCAGTTCACGATATCCTGTGAGCAAAGGCAGGAATTTTCTTTCTTCTCGATCCACAAGTTCTTTCCCACGTGCTATAGGATAATTGAGCGTTTGATTGAGGGACACTCAAACAGACCGTCTATTTGATTTATTTTATCATATTCTACATTATAAGTATAATCACCACCAATACACGATGCCGTACACGACTACACTGATACACCACACCACTGACCGCATTCCGATTTTGGGCCCACCTCACATACTATTGCACTGGCAAAAGCTGGTTCGCAATCTATGTGGGTATTATTCACACATGACCCTAGTGCTATTTAGCGAGTACCAGGGTATATGTACTTGCGTGTTCACAGAATGAGCTCCAACTAGACGACTATTTTATCTATCACACAAAAGTTCAAGATTAACTAGCATTCAGGAGGCTATGTCGGCAGGACGAGCACAACGTAGTACAGCACGTTATGGTACAACTGCCAATTTAGCACCGGTCGCGTACATCATCTAAACATATCCACAAATGCTCCTGAAACACTGGTGCTTTGTCCACCCGGTTTACATGCAACCGCTAGAACTGCAGTACTGTTTGAAAAACTTGTGATAACTACCGTGTGTTTTTCTTCCTTTTCGCAAGCAAACTAAACCGGGAGTTTTGAGACCAAGTATGGGTGAAAGGCATAAAATAAAGTGGTTGAGTGACTCAGTAGCTCGAGAGCGTAAGATAATGAAAATCACAAGGGTTGAATGCCCTTTAACTAACCTATTGGAGAGGGTCGCCCCGAGAAACTACCTCCACAACTGCAGCATGGGTGATAAAAAATAGCTAGAGTTTCGACTGCAATGCTACCACCATGTTCTCTTTTGAACAAGCTTTTAACATATGTTCATTTGTACCAAGTAAGGAATAAAACATATCTTTCGGAAATTGCTGTTCGAATCGACGGCGTTCATACGTCAAGCCCTTGTTGCATCCACCGATGTCTGGTTGTTTTCTATCGAATTTTCATTGGGAGCATACGATGGAACATGACTGGTGTAGCTGGATGCCAACAATGCTGTGGTTATCGTTCATTAGTCCGTCCAGTTTAGTATAACCTGTGGAATCTCCTCAAATATCTCCTGTTCTTTTCTCCCCATGATTACCGATCACAGCATAAGCTGTACAGGAACAGATACAAACTATTTACGCAAAGCGCCTAGAAAATAAGAATGCGAAGGTGGTGCGAAGTAGCAATTTAGTTAACATTGACCAGCCATGCAAATAAACGCTCTGTAAAGTCTCTCATCCGGGAACTGTTCATATATCCAGGAAAGACTACTACGGAGAGATTACATGACACAGATTGATCTCAACTGGCCGGTAACTAATAGTTAAAAATAAGCGACCGATTTATTCCACCTATATGTAAAGTGTTGTAACAGCTACTAGTAATTTTTACCTATTCCCATCAATTAGGCCTAACCAGGTACTGATTACCTATGAAGTGTTGAGATTAAATTCACAACTCATTGAGCTATCATTCGAAATATTGAGCTAGGCAAAACTGTTAAAAAGATCAATACATGAGTAAGTACGCAGGAGGGAACAAAGCATCCTTCACTTTTGAACATTGAAATACATCATTCTGATTCATCTTCTATCGCTTTTGCCGGAAAATTCCAATATGCCTTCTTTCATTCTTGGACTATGTGGAAGTTACGGTGACCCACATATTCTTGGTTTGATACCATGCTCTGGATGTTCTCGGTGGGTTTCAGGTCCGGAATAGGAACCGGGCAATTTAAACACCAAATAAGTTGATACATAAATTCGATTCTCCACCTTGTGACAATGAGCAAGAACAACGGTGGGTATGGACAGGCTATCAGGCCTGTCGCATGCGTCTCAACTACTGATAATAAACCTGAAGAGTTAGTTACCCGGTGTTTCCAAGTGCCAGTCTGCTATCCGGAGTTGATAAATGTCCCTCTGATGTTGTAGACTTTCCTCTCCAGCACAACAAAAGAGCCAGTGTGGTGGTTTTGACCACATACCTTCTTTCCTGAGATTATTCCAGTAACACACTTAGCCACTTGGGTCGTCCTGGATTGAAATGTTGTGTACTGTTCTGGGTTGATCAGCAGACATCTTGTAAACAATGTGGAGACTTTGGCCGGGTATCACGCTGTCCGTCATCTTCCAGATGCTGCACAACATAGCCAGTTATCGTCCTCCTACTTCCACAAGCCTATATGACTCGCCGTACGTCTAGTGTATTCCACTGCAGAGCACCAAGGGAACGAGTTAACTAACGTATTTCAGGCGTAGACAGATACCCCACATTTGAGACTGAAGTAACACAGACGATTGATTGTGAACCAGGTTCGGAGTGTTGTGACCGGGAAAACTTTGTTCAAATTGGTGTAAAGCCTTCTATTCGGCAGATCGGCTGGTACGTCATCCTTAGACAGAAGGCTCATGTGAATAGATTTACTTTCAGCTGTGGTGGTAACCGCATCAGCTTCTCCCCTGTTCAACTGCCTCCTAATAAAATTATCGGGGAACACTTTGTCCCTCAGAATGTTGGTTAGAGTTAGGATTTCCTGTTCTGGAGCAACTTCAGAGAATATTTTCCCCGCTCTGTTAGTAAGGCTGTGGATCAGATTACGTTCCTGTTAGTAATACGAAGCTGTTAAAGCTGCTGTTTTGCGCGGACCATGTAGGCTTTCGGGACACCCATCGTCTCAGCATGCCATCGTGATGTCTTTAAAGGCCAGTTTCCAGAAGGTGGAGGAATTTATCGTTTTTTCTTTCCGAGGTGAACTGGATTAGCGGGTGAGCCTTGTCGAACTATTGTTGAAGCAAGCGCATCTCCGTTTGAGCTTGAGAGATGAATGTTGATTCATGGATTCAATAAAGGATCATTCGGTGTGATCTTACTGTTTACCAACGCCTCCGTAAATATAACTGTTAATTACTTATGTAAGTACATTCATGCAAACAAATTTTAGTTGCTCATTCCAGTCCTCCAGTTGTGAGAGCTACTCTTGTGATGCACACTGAATGTGCAGTTATTCTTCAACGGCACGCTCCACTAACAAACCGATAGGGTCACCATGGGCTCGCCACTAATCCTCGTGCTAGACAGCATTTTCACGGTCTTAAGCGATAAACAATAAAGCACTCAAAAACGTTTGAGGATGCCGTGTGGGAACACTGGAGATCACGAACTCGAAGGTGACACTGAACAACTGATTTTTCCACTTGGTGCCACTGGAACATAGCAGAGTCGAAGACGATGATATCAAGTATTCCAAAATGATGGATACCCAATGCAATCGAAACCAAAACAGTCCGTCAACACAACCAGAAGGACTGCGCCTCTAACAATACTGACAACATAGAGTTCAAGTCACTAGCACAGCTACAAAACTCTCTGGAGATCAAAGAGAAAAGAGGTTGCAATGAGATAAAGTGTCAACTACAGACTTCAATGCAATGAATACGGAAAGCAATGTGTTGATGAAGCTTTCAGAAGGCTATCCACCAAGTTACATAAACACGTGTCTACCAGTAACTGTCACTTATTTCAGTCAGGGACAGGGAAATTAGACCAAAATGCAACTCAGATTCCTGGTGACCTAACCACGCTATGTGGCAAACCTCCCACAACTGACCGATCAGAAATATGTAAAGTTGGAAAAGGAAAAAATCCTACTAATCTGTGTACTAATGAGGTGTGACCATGTGTTGGTGAAATGTTTGCAGCTAAGTTGCCGCACTAGATGAATGAGCCGACAAATGCGGCGGAAATCAACGGTTCTTCTTAGGCACATATAATCAGAACCGAACGTAGTCTTTTCACCAATCCGGCTAATGAGCAAAAATAAAAATACCTACAGCTTCATGTTGTCATCCTTCCAACGTAACACTATGTGAACTCATAGCAAACTCTTACAAGGCAAGCGAAGGCGGATCCATGATAAAACTTTTCTTCAGTCCCCTTTTTTTAAACTTTTCTTGAAACTTCTGCACACCACCGTGATGACCGGCAGTGGATTCATGCTGTCTTTTTGTTGGTCATGTTTTACCCAAGTGATGGACAGAAACAAGTGTGATGGCACAACCACAAACCGTACAACTGGGGACTAAATAGGTTCGACGGCGTCGTAGCGATCAAGCCACTGGACTAATGTGGAAGAGCATTCGTAACCGGAAAAAAATTACAGGAGGAAAAGTTTCGACCAATCATGCCGATACCTAATCTGCAAGAGATACCAACATGAAAAAATCAGCAAGGAAAAAATTAAGCGGGCCCTTTGATTTCAAACGAAAAGGTTCCTAAGTTCCCTACCCATCTGGATCTAATGGGAATAACCTCTTTCTTTAGTTCAGTGTGCCACATACACACACACTATCTTTTGATTGGAGAGCACACGTGTAAATCGCAAGTGTTATTTGTT